GTTAGTTATAACATGAAAAGTAATCCCTTGTCCCCCTGATGATGACTCTCTCTTCTCCATGTTCCCTGCCCCTACCCAGTGATTCTTTATCACAAATTTCTGTTTTGTTTCTTTTTTAGATGTTACTCATTACCATATTAAATTATCTCATTTATTTGTAAAAAAAAAAAATGTAGAGGATGAAGCGTAGCTATGTAATTGTTTAGAATTGAAAGCATTGATGTTGAATCTCTCTTATAAACACTTGCTGAAGATTTGGAGAATAGACGATATTAGTAAAGGGTTAAAATCATATGGTGATGAATTTTTTTGCGTGCCAGGTCGCTATGCTGACGCAGAAGTTGAAAGCACACTGCAAAGTTGAGTATCAAATTAAAACATTTTCCGGGCAAACTCACGGGTTTGTGCATCGCAAGAGAGAAGATTGTTCACCTGCAGACAAGCCCTATATTGACGAGGCAAGAAGGAATTTAATCGAGTGGCTGAACAAGTACATTTAGCAGTAATCAGATGCAAAGTGTCTCAAAAAAGCCTTCATCCGAAAGTTTGCTTTGAAATACTTAGATCATTTGATTTAATTTTCACTTTGTAAGACAGATGGAGGAATCCTGACATTCATTATTTCATCTGAAACACAAATTCAGTAGGAAATGTGAATGTATAAAATGATTGAATTTTTAATATGCACATCAAATAAAATGTAAAAAATAGGAAGAATTAAATGATGAAGGCATACCCTCATTATTAGTAAAAGTCTAGGGCTACTCAGGGACCAGCTGACAGCTCAGGTGTGGCCTTTCTGGTCTTTAATTGAACAAATCCTTTAAAGTGACTGGTGCGGCAAAGCCATGAACACGAACTGTAAACTGGGGTCGATGAAGAGCCCAACTTAATTAGACATTTATCTTTGTCTTAAGAGAGCTGAATTTGTCACATTCATATATTGCAATATGAGAAGTATTCAGATTAAAATCGGGTTTCAGTGATCTAATTGTAGCACACCAATAAACTAATTTTTTGAATTTTTGAATTTGTAGCTTTTTTGGAAAGATAATAGAAAATGATGGGTTAGAGTTGTTATCCAGCTGTCTCCTAGGCAGTGGCTTTCCAGACACTGGCATTTTGAGGTCTTGGGGGGCTGGGGCTGTATCAGAAATCTCCTGTGTTCACCAGAATGGTGGTGGTGTCAAGGGTAAAGCTGGGAAGTACCTCTGTACCTGCACCTACTAGGTGCGTGTGTGTGACTTTGGGTAAGTGACTTGCCGTTGTATTTTTATTCTAATTTGGTCTTGAGTCTCTGTCTTGAGAGTGACTGTAAACTCTAGCTCTGCTTGGACAGGTTCCAGGGGTGTGGTCGTGGGTGTTTACAGTGTGCCTTTCACGGGGTACTTTATCCTGGTGGACTGCCTAACCCCTGAGTGACCAACCAGTGACCAGGTGTCCCTCTCACGGGAAGCTTGTTTGTGCTGGCTGTCTGGCTGGGGCAATTGTCGGAATCCTGCTGACGTAGCCAGTTGTATTGTCGGGTTAGGGCTAGAGTTAGGGCTCACACAGACCCTTCATACCCATTGTACAGACTGGGTCACAGACCCCTCACATGCTAGGCTGGGTCACCAGACCCATCATATGCCTGGCTGGGTCACCAGCCCCCTCACACACAGGTTCACAAGCTAGGTAATTGGGAAGGATCCTGGGAGCCATTGGCAGATGACATGAGCTCAGTCCTCAGCAGCAGCAGCAACAGCAGCAGCAGTGGCAGCAGTGGCAGTGGCCTCCCAGAGGGTCCCAGGGGCCCTGGCAGCAACACCTTGCAGCAACGGCTTCCAGCAGCAGTAGTGGCCTCCCTGTGGCCCCCCGGGGCATCCCAAGGGTGGGGGTGCCCTGTAGATCAGAGCCACTGTCCTTTAAACTTAAGTCCGATAACCCAGGACACCTGGGTGCGAGTCAGGCAACCCAGGAAAACCTGGGTGCCCACACGCATCTACATCAGACAGCAACCTGGGTGCGCATGCATATTTACATCAAATGCAAGATTCTGAACCCCCGAGGGACCCTGACCATTTATCTTCACTTTCCCTACACTTGCAGACACCCTTGTGGTTCTTGTCTGACCTGTATCCAGTTTATTCCTGCCGCTGTCTAGGAGAGGCCTGCCGGAGAGGACATTGAGGATCACGGCGGGTCAGGGGAGGCAGCACGACAGAGCACGTGGAATTACAGAAGCAGTTTTATTGCTTACAGGTCTCAGAGAGAAGAGGGCATCACACCTTCCTGGGCCACCAGGAAGAGGGGAGCCATCAGGACAGGCATGCTCAACTAGGGGAGCAAGAGAGAGAGAGAGTGAGAGAGGGACCTGTGGCCGGGACTGTCATTGGAGTCCAGGGCATTACCAAGCAGGTTTTCTGTGGAGAGTTCTAACTGGTGGCTTTAGAGCAGGTGGGTATGAGTTCTAGGGGGTCACAGTGTGACTGAGAGGGGGTCACTGTGGTGTATCTGTGCAGCCCATGCAGGGTGTGGGGGTCAGCAGGGCAGGTCAAGTAGGCTGCATCCAGCTGTCCTATGGGGAGGTGGACACCAGGAGGTGGGGGTATAAGGCACATGTCTGCATAGACCACTTTCAAGAACTGGGAGGAGGCGGAGAGCTGGAAACTGTGTCAAGGGTGACCAAGCCCTGTGGTATGAGAAAGTCCAACTTATATTCAAAATCGATGCTGAGGCAACATGAAGTTATAGGACTATACTAGACCTTTCTGAGCCTCAGTTTTTGCATCTGTCTAATGGGGAGAGGGATACCTTTGGCATCACGTTTGAGGGAATAAAAGCCCCAGCACAGTCCCCGGTCCACTGTGACCTCCAATGGGCCTGAAGCCTGTGCCTGCCGAGGGGACTCCTGGGAACTTTGCTCGTTCATCCAGCCTCGCGGGAACACCTGGGACATGCACTGGGTCATTGTTATTCCCTGCTGGGGTACCTGGTGAGCACGCAGGCAGGTAGCCAGAGTCTCTGAAACAGTTGGACAGGAGGGTCTGAAATTTCGAGAGAATGAACACAGGGCATGGGTGTCCTGCTCCAGCCGGGTGTCTCTGGGGTGACCTTGGGCCTGGGCGGCCTTCCCTCTGTCCTGTTGTCCTCTCCAGGCACCGTTCCTCGTGGTGTTGAAGCCAGTGCTGTGGGTGGAAATAAAAGGCAAGTCACATACGCACTTTATTTGTTTTAGATTTGTCGTTCAATGTATATTTATACCAGTAGATAAATGTAGGTGAGGGGGAAAAACTTCAATTTAACTTTTTTCCCATATATGTAATTTTAAATTTTCTCATAGACATTTAAAAGAGTAAAAAGAAATAAGTGAAATTAATTTTACTGATATACTTTAACTCAGTTTATCAAAAATGCTATTTCAGCATGCAATCAATATGACAAATGATTAACGATTAAATATTAATGATTAATATTTTGCATTCTTTTTTGTATTGTCTTTGAAATCTGTATTTTACACGTAAACAGCACATCTCAATTCCAGTGCTAAATTTTCGACAGAAATTCTTGATTTGTATTTAGATTTCATAAAATTTAGTTGAAAAAAAGTAGATTCGCATACCCAAGTTGTTCCAAACATACTTAAAATTTTCTGATGATTGAATCTAGTACCAGAAGTCATTTTTCCTTACAGTTCACCTCCACATGAACATACTGGTTCATCTTTTCTTTTTCTTTGTTTTTAATAGAAGAATTGATTTTATTTTGAAGCAAAATTATCCATTTCAAAACTGGTCTATCCAAATGAGGTGAATTCACTGGCTTTTGAGTCAGCTCAGTGTTAACAACATCGAGTTCAGAGGAGTTTAGCACACACTGCAAAGCAGCTCTCAAAGTGTATCAACAAAGCGTTCTTTGTATTTCCCTTGTTACTTTTGCAAAGATACTTTACAGTGCTTCAGTTGTTAAATTTAAACTAATTTAAATTAAATTAAAACTTGAGCATCTCAGTAGCACTGGCCACATACCAAGCACTCAGTGCCACTGGCCACACCTGCAAGTCTACACTAGTGAAGAGGATTGGCATCCTCTATATCCTGTTGACTCTCCATTAGCCCTGCTAGTTCCCCTTGTGACAATCCTGCAGTTGGTTTTTAATTCTTTTATTTGGCAGACTCCTCAAGGCTAGACCAGATATCTGTCTGTCCCTCTAGCCCCTCAGTGTCCCCTCCACCCAGGCCTTGGCCCTGCAGGACACTCCTTCCATCAGGTGGGACCTTGGGGAGAGGGTTTTGCTTAGGTATTTCTTGGGTTGAGGGTGGGACTGTTTTCTTCCCAGTGTGCCAGGCCAATTTGGGCAACTTCTTATCAGTCTTGGGGCTCTAGGATCCTGCAAACTCATTCTGGACTCTATTCTGGAAGATGGAGCCAGTAGGATCCCTGCAGCCTCGAGGAACCACACCTAATCTTCTTCACTTCCACAAAAGGGTGGCCTGTGCTGGGGCTGGCCCTGCAGAGTCCCAAGGTGCACATGTCCTTTTGGGTCCTTTAGGTGAGAGCAGTGTGAGTTACAAGATGGCATTTGCATTTTAGGAGCATTAAAATCTGGAGAAGAAAGGAGCAAGGTTGGGGGAGGCAGGAGAGTGGAGAGGGCAGGAGGGGTTTGCCAGCACGTGGAACAGACTGAGAGGACACTGGGAGGAAGGATCTGAGGTCTGCGTAGAGATCATCCAGGATGGGAATCCAGGGAGAGGAGCGGAGCTGTGGGAAGAGAATTGGTTTTGGGTCCAGTCTGGAATATCACTTAGTTTTTCTTGGGCTACAAATAACAGAAAACCATAACATTTAAATATCTCCCATGACACTCCTCAAGGGGTCCAAGGGTGGTGGTTCGGGGGCTTCCTGGTGTCAGGACCCTGGGTAGGTTCCTGCATTCTCTGGGTCCTCTCCCTATGGGCACAGCTCTGGGACTCAGGGCCTCACAAAGTGCAGCCACAGCAGGAAGGGACGGAAGGGACTCTGTTCCCGTGTTTCCATTTTTGTCAGGTAGGAGAATCTCTCCCAGAAGTTCCCCAGCTGGGTGCTTTTTTTGTGTCCTGGAAGAGGCTGAGGACATGAGCATCAGTTGAAGGGGAATTTGGTGACGAGGATTGGACGAGACCCTGACTCTCACCAGGGGCTGGGCACGCTCCCTGCTGACAGTGGTGGGGTTTGGCTGGCAGGGAAGAAGCTGCGGGGGCCTGTTGGGGGCAGTCAAGTCAGCCCCATGTGCACCTAGTTTTGGGAGTTGTCGATCAATTGGCCTTGGATGGTGTGGGCAGAGGGAGAGTGTAGAGAAGGTGAGGATGAGGAGGGACGCTGGGAGGCAGGACGGACTTAGCAGGCCCACCGTAAGTACCTAGTTGTGTGATTTGGGGCAACTTACCTAAATTCTCTGGCCCTCAGTTCTTCTCAATGTAAAATTTATAAGATGAGGAAAATAACCTTACTTGGCAGGGTTGTGTGTGAAGTGTCATCAGCACGCCTTGCACTTGGGTAATTGTGGTGAATGTGTCCTAGTTCTTTCTGAATGTATATGGCAGCCATGAAAGGGGAAGGCAGGGAGGGAGTGAGATGGAGCAGCCGGGTGGGAGAAGACAAGTAGAAGAAAGAGACTTTGTGGAAGTCACGGNGAGATGGAGCAGCCGGGTGGGAGAAGACAAGTAGAAGAAAGAGACTTTGTGGAAGTCACGGGAGGAGTTTCAATGGGGGAGGTGTGGATGGGGAGTTAGGGAAAAAGCCCATGGTGTGTTTGAGAGGACAGGGGATCCCACCTCAGGGATCATCGCTGGGATTCAGCAGAAGTCAGCAGTGATCTCAGCAAGTGCATGAGGCCGAAGTGTGGGTGCAGAGTGGAGGGGAGAGGAGGAAGTCAGCCCCCAAGGTTGGCTGTAAAGAAGATGAGAGTGCCCCGGGGGACACAATGGAGAGGCTTTTTCTAGGCTGTGCTTTTGCTTTTTAAGGTGAGATATTTGATGGAAAGAACTAACAGAGGAGGGGAGGTTGAA